ACTAGCTAGCGTAGTTCATTCACCTCAGTCGAGAGGGGATGAAACATTAGCTAACGTTACATGTCAGTTACAATACTAGCACTGCAAATAAACAAAGCAGTTCCCTTAGCAGCTACATCAGTCAACTAAAGAGTAGCCAGTTTCTGCTCTGCTCTGCTTGCTTTTACAACTTGATGAAAGAGCGCAACACATACACACGAAACTATGCTCAGCTCTCCCGTGCTGGTCCAGCCAGCCTCCCAGAAGCTTTTGCCTTCACATAGCCTGTCAGCCTGCTCTGTGGTGTCCAAACCTCCTAAATCCAGCCGGCTGAACACTCCAAACAGCCTACCCGACTGCTCGGAGGCGTCCGCATGGTCCTAAAGCACTGGGGTTAGACAAAAATGCAATTTCAGAAAGTGGGGGGGACATGACCCCCCCCCAGTCCCCAGTGAAAGTTGCGCCCCTGACCTAGCCTAAGAACACAACGGTAAGACTAGGACAAACATATGTAAAAGTCTCTCTCTACTTTTATATCTTTGTCTGTCTTTTATCTGTCTCCTGTATTTTTCTCTGTTTACCTTTCTCACATCTCCAGTGATGCTTTACTCTTCACTAGGAGTGAAGTCTTCTAAAGCAGAGCAAAGTGAATGTCTCTAACCAATCAAAGCTTTTCCACAACAACAGAGAAAACTGTACGGTTGCAAACATCCAAGAAAGTTTCAAAGACATAAATCTTAGTAAACAGAGCGATACATCTCCCTCCTTCCCACCTTCTCTCCCTCTTTTGAGCCTGAACATAGTCATAAATACAGTAGGTTACACCCACTACTCTCTTTCAACACATTCTCTCTCTCTCTCTCTCTGTCTGCCCCTTTCTATATCTCTCGCTCTCTCCTCCTCCACCTCTCTATCCAGCTAACAATTCTAGGGAGAGAGAACGTTTTTGTAATGTTACCCTAATGTTTGAGTGTCCAGTTTTTTTATTAGTTAGGGGAACTCACACATCCACACAGTGCTTTTAACACACTTTGACATACATGACTACATTGTGCACGTTCATTTATACAGTCATTATTATTCAACATGTCCTCACCTGGGATTTGAACTCACAACCTCTTGGTTCACGGCACTCCGATCTTCCCGCTACGCCACCATGTCCATGTCATGTATCAGTTAATCTGACAATTCTCATCATTAATTTGATTTAGGCCTACCTATTTCAACAATTTAACCCCCTAGAGTCGAGGTCCATGCCCCTGCGGAAATATAATTAGCATAATAAAAAAAATGGTTTAAGCTAGAGATATATTTTGCATTGGATGCGTCTCAATCCACCGCATCCGCCAATGTCACACTTCCGCATCTGCGGTGAAAGGTGACAGAGCTAGAGCGGTGTTGGTCAGACCATGAGACGTCCCGAAAATCGGTCTTCTCACAAATTCGTTTGTAGCGTCCGAAAAGGTTTGGCCTTACAAACCATTAATGAAAACTATGGTGTTTTCCGTTTTGCTTTATGACCCCCACAAGCGTCTTGGGACTCGTCTGAAGTCGATCTGCCAACTTCTGTCTGTACCGTCCAAAATGTTTGGGCTACACACTGATATGACCACAGGCCTCACAAGACTAATCTTAAGGTCATGTAGAAAAAAAAAAAGAAAAATAAAAGTTTCCTGATCTTTCTTATCTCTCAGTTATAGGACAGACACTTCAGTACAAACTTCCTTTAGATTATTGTTTTGGGACTATCTGTTGTTCCATGTAATGAATATGTTATTCAATGCGCTTGGTATGGGCTAATAGCAGTAACGCCAAATCAAAATGTTAATCAAATATTATTTTACAATATTTGTTCTATACTTCAAGGGGTCTTAAAATTCTAAATCAAATAGCAAAAATGATCCCTGGTTTGACCTTCTTAAAATAATGAATATATCTTAGTAGAACCCCCCTCCCCCGGACTCAGACAGGACTCACTCAGTCTCTGATGGGTTAAGTGCTTTCTGTATAGTTGACTAATTAACCTGTTTTAATGATACTTCTGAATCACCATGATCAATAAAATACATACAATGTAATCACGTATGTCAAATATGTAAGTTGAAAACAACGTGCGAGAGTATCCCTAACCTTGCTAACAGACAAAGAGTTTTGAATGGATCAGTGTTTTATCAATCAGGGCCTTGATTGGCTCGGCAACAGTACAAAAAGGCGTGATGTAATGAAACAGATTTTTTTTGGGGGGGAGAACGTTTTCTTTGGGACCGTCAGGCGACGTCCTGACAACTGATACACAGAAATGTTCCTGCAACGTTCCCATGAAACGTGTCTAGAACATTCATACATTTTATTCTGAGAACATGGCAACCATGTTCTGTGTATGTTTTGGTGGAACGTTTAATGGAATATTCTCTGAACCCTCAGAAAACTGGACACATGAATATTCACGCAACGTTCTTAAATTCTGAGAACATGGTAACCACATTCGGGTTAAGTTCTATTTGACATTAAGGGGATGGTTTCTTGGGAACATTCCTAAGAAAATATTAGTTAATGACCTAATGAGGCTCTTGAGACTCTTAAGGTAATGTTATCTAAAGTTGTGGGAACGTTTGTTGTTAGCTGGGTACCTCCCCCCCTTCTCTTCTTTCTCTCCCTCTCTCAATTTCTCTCCCTCACTCACTCCCTCCCCCCTCTCTCTCCCTTTCAATTTCTTGTTATGCGTATTTTCCATGCTCCATGACTGTACTGTAATATCCCATCAGAATAACACACACACACACACACACACACACACACACACACACACACACACACACACACACACACACACACACACAGCTCATGGCAGACCCTCAATGTCTTCTTTGTCTAACAGCTTGATTCTGTCTGGTATAAAAACATGGCTAGTACAATTTGAGTCATGATTCAATACTGTGATAAAGCATAAAGGCTTGGAAAGGGAACCCCGGAGTGTGTGTGTGTGTGTAAGTGTGTTTGGTTGTGAGGTATGTAAGAACTTCTGATGTTTAGATGAAGGAGGAAAATCAATGGACATTTTTAAAAAACACATAAATCAGGAAAGTATTTTGCTCATCACCTGAGGATTGTGTTTGAGTACACAGAAAATAACGAACATTACAGCACACTAAACTTTGTAACTTCCTGTTAGTTCGTCACAGGTCCTCACAGAATTTTAGAGATAGATCTTTGGTTTGGTGATGTTACCATCTCTAAAATATAGAGTTCCTATACATTATATTTACTGTACAGAAAGATTGGGCCAGTTAGTTTTGCGTGGCCCGGGTAGGCGGAGTTTGTACATTTTAGGCCATTCCATTGGTCCTTAAGTGAAATCTCAAACCGTTTATTCGATGTCATACGTGGAGTGTGTCTGAAAGGTAGCTTAGTGGTTAAGAGCGTTGTGCCAGTAACCGAAAGGTCGCTGGTTCTAATCCCCGAGCCGACTAGGTGAAAAATCTGTTGATGTGCCCTTGAGCAAAGGCACTTAACCCAAATTTCTCCTGTAAGTCGCTCT